CAAAATTAATAAGAAAAAGTGTTTTCCCGAGAAATTTTGGTGCAGTCGATTTTTGGTAAAAAAGGAAGGTTATACACTGCCTTTTTTTGAGCCCCGAAGAAAAAATTGTCTCAGATCGACCCCGAAAAAAAATTTTTTTATAGAATGTGGCCTGTAGAATCAATAATTTCAAGCAGTTCCAAGATTTGGCTACTGGTTCAAAAGGTGTTTTCCCGAGAAATTTTGGTGCAGTCGATTTTTGGTAAAAAAGGAAGGCCTTTTTTTGAAACTCGAAAAAAAAAATTGTCTCAGATCGACCCAAAAAAAATTTCTTCTAGAATGTGGCCTGTAGAACCCATAATTTCAAACAGTTCCAAGATTGGGCTAATAGTTCAAAAGTTACAGCCCTTTGAATTTTCTTTCGAAATTGGTTTCTAGTCCATAACTTTTGATTGAGAAGTCTAATCGAAAAAGTACGAATTGTTTTGGATTCTACGCATCAAAATTAATAAGAAAAGGTGTTTTTCCCGAGAAATTTTGGTGTAGTCGATTTTTGGTAAAAAAGGAATTGGTTAAGTATTCAAATACTATGTGAAGTATTCGAATACTAAATATTTGTGAAAGTATTTGAGTTACAAATACAAATACTGCTTCCATAAAAGTATTTAATTACCAAGTATTTGAATACTTTAAAGGATTTGAATACTAAAAAGTATTTACAAAGTCGAATACTACCCAGCTCTGCCTGTATCCAAGGAGTCTGTTAATTTGTTTCATGAAAGAAGAATTATTTCCTAGAATTGTTAAGGATAGGAAAATTTTATCTCATTTTCGTTATCAATTTGTGTTGTTAATTTATTTATGTGACAGTTGAGATTTGATTTATTGGGCATTTTCTTAAAGAAATTGCCGTTTCAGATTTACGGCGTTTTATACTCAATGATCAAATTGAAATATCATTACTTACTGAATTTTCCTTTCCATTTTAATCGACATTATTCGTTTCTATACCGCCCTAGAGATAGAGCAATCTGCGGGTTTTTTAATGTGGTATCTCCTGAGGGCGTAATCCACAAATTCAAATCCGATATTTATTGCGACGAGGGTCCTGGGCGAATGTCTGGCACCAGAACATCATGAGCAGCTTCTTTATCAGTTTCGCCGGAAGCAATACCGACGCGTCTTTGAGGTCGCTACTGCGGGGTTGAGCTCCTGACGTTACAACGGCACCGGGTCCCGCTCCCTTTCCTAGTTGATGCAGTCGGAGCACTCTTTTTTGTAAGAAAAGTGACGTGCGAGCCCCTGTGCTTGAAAGTTCTGCCGCTAGAGTATGTCCATGAACCTAGCAGAGCAAGGCCAGCAGAACATAATCAAACATATTGCATAATTAGGTAATTAGGTGCTAATTAAGTGCCATATTCCCGAATTAAATGCTCCTTTTTTTTAAAAAAAAAACTTATTACATGTTTTGCCAGGTTCATATGAACTCAGCAACACTACCTCAAAAACCAAGAAAATGAAAAGTGAACTAACGGTAATTAGGTGCTAATTAGGTGCTAATTAAGTGCCCTATCCCCGAATTAAATGCTTCTTTTTTTTAAATTATTACATGTTCTGCCAGGTTCATATGAACTCAGCAGAACACTACCTTTAAAACCAAAGAAAATGAAATGTAAATTAACTATAATTAGGTGCTAATTAAGTGCCCTATTCCCGAATTAAATGGTCTTTTTTTTAAATTATTACATGTTCTGCCAGGTTCATAATTAAAAAAAAGGAGCATTTAATTCGGGAATAGAATATTTAATTAGCACTTAATTATAGTTAATTCACTTTTCATTTTCTTGGGTTTTTATGGTAGTGCTCTGCTGAGTTCATATGAACCTGGCAGAACATGTAATAATTTAAAAAAAGGAGCATATAATTCGAGGATAAGGCACTTAATTAGCACCTAACTAGCACCTAATTAATTATAGTTAGTTCACTTTTCATTTTCTGGGCTTTAGAGGTAGTGGTCTCTGCTAAGTTCATATAAACCTGGCAAAACATGTAATAATAATTTAAAAAAAAGGAGCATCCAATTCGGGAATAGGGCACTTAATTAGCACCTAATTAGCACCTAATTATGCAATATGTTTGATTGTGTTGTGCCGACCTTTCTCTGCTAGGTTGATGGACATCGCTGGAGTGCCTGATAGGATACCTCATCGACATCAAATGCGAAGGGAACCCTACCAGGAAAAAGTACTCCATAGGCTCATTCGAAAACCAGGGTTTTGCCTCTGGAGCCGCTTAAATTGGTGGCCGTGTCATCCGGGAGCCCGTATAACACATCCATCACCTTGGTTACCCTAGGGACTTGCCTCAGAACGAGCCATCCCCGAACCTAATAAGCTGGACGGTCTTCTCCAACCAGTCCAAGGTCCAGTGGTCCTCGCATTCGGCCGCAAGGGCATCCTGCGAATTCCAACCGAGGAAAAGCTCCCCTCCACCCTAACCGCTCGACTGTATTCAATGCAGTCATAATGCACCTCGACTGAGGCTCAGTGATGACCGCTGATACCGGAACGATGGCCACCCTGAGCCCCACCGCAGCGACATAGGTTCGTGGGTGAACCAGAACCTTTAGACTTTTTTTCAGGCTGCCCTGGGCCGGTCCCTGGCGTGCTTCCCTCCGATCTGAGATGCTTTGTCCCTGACCGGTAAAAAAAACTGAAGAAACCGTTTAAATACTGGAGCCGACGTAAGATCGGGGCCCCTTGTCAAGTTAGAGGCCGAGTGTCGGTTCGCTAGAGGAAGCCTTTTGTCAAATACAAGTCGAGTTGCAGTTCGTTGGAAGAGCCTTTTGTCAAGTTCGAAGCCGAGTTGCCGTCCTTTGAAAATTTTAGAAGACGCGCGTTTTTACGTTAAAGTTTAACAGATTAAACAAATTAGTTGATCGTTAAAGAGAAGTCAGTACGTGTTAATCAAGACTCCAGTCAAGTTGGAGTTAAAGTTTTAAAGAAATTGTACGTGACAGTTTCGGATAGCAGCTATAGCCCAGTTTTTGATAAGTAGGACTTTATGTTAAATTTTACATGTGTGTTCGTTTGTGTAACATCATGCAAGTCGTGTGTTTATTCGATCCATTTAACGTTCAAGATAGATGTCTCAAGCTAAATTATGGTTAATTTTGTTGATTCGTGGTCAAAGTTCACGTCTTCAACATTTATGTAAGTGCTCCTGTTGGAATTACAGGAATTTGATCGTGGTCACACGTGGCCCCTGAAGACAAAGACATTTAAAAATAAACATCGGCCTCCAAAAGCCTTTATGATTTTTCTAGGGACTCTAAAGATCTTCAGATTCTTTTTAAAAATATTTAAGGGTCTTTAAATGGCCTCTAAGAACTGTTGAGTTCTTGAGAGTTTTCAAGATCTTTTAATAATGGTGAATAGTATTTAATGTCCGAACCTTGAACCGCCTCCAAGACACTTTACGAGCTTTGAGTGCCTCTACTGGGGATCGACAACAGGTTCTGACAGCGTACGGAACCTTCAAGATCCTTAAAATCCCTGAAGAGTGTCCAAGATTTTGAGGATAGTCTTTGAAAGCCCTTGAGGTAGCTACACCCCTTCAGGTGCATGTGTCAATTCTATCTATTGCAGGTGTTGTGTCAAGTATACCTGTCAAAACACCCCTTAATAGTTAATCCACACCGACAGGTCCGTCGTCTACCTCGGTTTGATAAAAATGTATCCCTACCTTGGATAACTGGAATTTATACCCACCTACAAGTCGAAGGGTGAGATGCGGTAGATCCTTAACAGAAAGCGTTGGAATATTTATAGTCTAGTCTAGTCCAGTCTTCTCTTCTCTAGCTTCCCGACTCGTACAAAGTCTAAACGCTTTTAGAGCCTTCAAAGCCTTCAAGAGTCTCCCTCATGAGATCTTCAAGGTTATCGAAAAGCCTTCTAGACCATTTGACAGCTTTTGCGAGTCTTTGAAAGTCCTTAAATACCTTTGAATACGCCAGTAGCATTCAAGGGCCTTTGAAAACCTTCTCAACGCTCTTAATAAGATTTAATAAGTCCCCAATGATCTTTCAAGAAGCCCTTATGCTTTTCTAGACCATTTTGGAGTTTTTGAAGGTTTTTAAAAAGTGCTAATTCGCTTTGAGAGTGCGTAACAAGTTTACCTGAAGAGACTTTAAGTCTTGGCCTTCAAGTGTCTATAATGACCAAGGATCTTCAGGAATTCGTAGATTTTAGAGATTCTAAGGTTTGCAAAGTTTCGAATATTTAATACCAAAAAATTCCAAGACACCAATGACTCAAACCATTCAAAGGGTAATATCTTAAGAACCGATTCCGTTAGTCGTCCAAAAGTGGCTGGCGCATTGCGCAATCCGAATGGCATGACGATGAACTGCCATAAGTTTGATCCAAGGGTAAAGGCCATCATTTCCGTATCTTCTAGAGCTAATAGCCACGTCCAAGAAAAAGGTGTCAGTAACTTTGAGGAAGTCTAGATTCCAACCATCCCCCATAAATCATTCTTTTAATAGGGGTTAGAGAATTGATGAGTGCTGGAAAGCGGTTAATGGAGTAGGCGGGAAATTTAACATTATTACAGCGACATCTACACTAACTACTCGCGATAATAGCTAAATTCCTTGTCAGTGTTTTGCAATTGGAGGCGATGAAAACTTCATCGATTTCATTCATGCATTAGACCGTTCAGATACTAAAAGGCAAAAAACACTTGTTGCACGAATCTCTTCATGTGTTTGTATAATAAACGCACTTTTTTGTTTCAGCCCGTCGGCATGTACCTAAATAAATACGAGTGGGCCGGCTCCCAGGAGCTAGGCGATTGCTCTATAAGGATTAGGGAGGCGCAACTTGAATTCGACGATGGCACTTGGGAATGTCAAGTGACGGCGAGCGATTTCCACACTCAAGACGCCCTCACGAGCCTGCCGATTCGTCTAGTAGTTAGGGGTAAGTTCGAAACGCCGTTCGAATTGATAATTAACTTGGTTAGTGGCAATAAAGTTTTACTAAGGCTTATCACAGTAACTATACTAATATCGCGTTCATTTGCTCCTCGAGCGTGTATCCTAAGTCGCGCAGCTCGGACAGGACCGACGGAGTCTTACGTATGTAGTCGACCCATCCGCCGTAGCTGTAATCGGGATGGACTCCTCCGTATCTTACGGGCAAGTACTTCGGGTCGATGTGCTTGTGTAGCGACTTCATGTCCGATCCGTGGAAGAAGATGCGTTTCCTTACTTCTTTGCTCATGAAGGGCTTTACAATCGAGTAGCCCGCTTTGAAAACTGGCGATTGATTGACGATGTGGACCGCGTGTGTCCTCAGAGGATAGGTCCACTAAAACACAGGGAGCACGAGGTTATTCCGTCACTAAAACCAGGTCGAGCCGTACAGATTTGTGACATCTAACTAATATTTAGACGGTACAAATATGTATGGCTGCGTTCGGTACATTTTAAGCATTGATAAGTTGGTTACCACGACAATGTCGATCATTTGAGCGGCAATTTTCGAATTCAACTGCGTGACGTGCTTCATCTTTAAATCGGCCAAATCGAACAGGCAAATTCCCCCCAATATTTGCGTGGAGGTTTCCATTAGCGCCAGCTCGAGCGCGACAAGTGTGGCCTGGAACAGTTCGCGTGTGCTTATTTTGGCGGGATCCCAGTGACCTAAAATTGAAACGATGAAAAAGACCGCGATTCACTCGCAAATACCCAATCTGTAAAATAGCATCCTTCTTCCGTGCTGATCGTGAAAGGGCTGCGTGCTAATCAAATCGGCGTCGCCTATCGCAGTCAACCGATCAAAGTACACGTCCTGGTAAAATTCCGGATTCTTCTCCTTGAACTCGTAGTAGTTGACAAGCTGTAAGCCTCAGAATGTCGATGTGCTCGACGCGCCTGGACCTACTTACGAGTCGGTGAGCGTGTCTTATGACGAACCTCCGCGCCCTCAAGAAACGCAGCAGAAAGTCGTCGTCTAGGCGGTGCGGTGAGCATTCTCCCCTTTCTGGAACACATACAGGAAATGTTATTAAAGCGCGGCATGTGACAGAATTATATCAAAGAGCGAAAACAACGAGCGCCAACTGTATTGGCTCCACTAAAATTGCATTAAGAAGCCTCGGTACAATGCAATTTTATTATCCCTCTCTCTATGCGGAACGCAATTAAAAAGTCCGCCGACGTCATACTTATAGAGCAATCTGTTTTATTACGATCTAGTTGCGGTTTACAATTAGCGAAGGTAATTAACCTATAAACGTGTTGCGCTTAATTTAATAGCTCGAGCCCTGCCTAATTAACGAAACGTGACAACCTTAATCGGCAAAATTTTAGCTAATTGTAAAGCATTTGTTTGCAATTTCGTAAATAACATGAGACCATTTTCCTCTTATTGTCTATCGAATCAATAGAATTAGCAATTAATTTGATGACTTGTAGAAAGAACTCCATCGTATAGAGAATATAATTAATTGTAATTAAACGATTAACATAATTACTTGTGTGTATGGTGCGCCGAACCCTTTTCCACTTAGTAATGTAATTTTAGATAGAAAGTAGAATTAATAAACCAATTGACATTAATTGAGTTGGTCTATAATTAATTACTTAATTAATTAAAACAACGGAAACTAAACAAACGAGTACAGAAACAAAAAGGTTATCAAAAAGGAAAGCAAAGGAGGAACCGATAGCGAAAAACGAAAGGAAAGAAAAATGGACACAACAGAAAATGAAACAAGAAGTCAACTAAAATAGAAACGGAAAGTGAAACGACAGCTAAGACACAGAAAATGAAACAAAAAGGAAAGTAACGAAAGTTAACAAAAAGAAGCAACAAGAGGATACCGAAACGGAAATAGGAACGAGAAGGGACACTAGAAAAGAATGGAATAGAAAACGGCAAGAAACACGTAACTAACAGAAATGAAAATAGAAATGACAACGAAACAAAACACGGAGAAGAAAATGAACAAGTTAAAAGGGGTGCGAAACAGCAGGGAAGGAGGAATAAAGGTGGAAATGAAATCAAAAGAAAAAGAAGAACCGATTGAAAACCAAACAAGAAAAGAACACGAGAACACAAAAGAAGCAAATAAAGGAATATGCGACAATCAAAAACGCGAAAATCGTACACAAATAAGAGGAAAACTACGACGGGAAAGAAACGAAATGGTGTTTACCTATAAGATAGAGAAAGGTAGAAGAAATCAAAAATGAAAAGGAAATGGGAAGCAAACAAAGTAAGTGAATTGGAAGCGAAAAACGCAAAAAAACGCGTAAGCAAAATAGAATGAAAAATGGAATAGAGGAAACAAAAATAGAATCGAAAGCGGACAATACAAATGACAAAAAAGGTAGTCAAAAGATAAATAAAAATGACCATGAGTTTATGAGGATACAAATGAACATGAAATTATCCACTAAATTCTGTTGCCTGGGGGAGGGGGCGGTGTTAAGGAAAGAAAAACGTGCATAAATTTTGAATGCGACGACCAATTTATTGGTCTTTTGGACACGCATGAATTTAGTGGTGCCAAGCAATACTTTTAAAGAGGGGGGGGGGGGGCTTCTATCCGTCATGGTGTTCTAATTAAAGTTCTCATTGAAAGAAATTGGTTTCTACCTCCGCGATTCCTTGCCGAGTGGATGGTTGGAAGGAGGGAGGGGTGTTAGAAATTAGTTTTATTTATTTATTTTGCCTTTATTTTTGAGTGGGCGGAGTTTCAGCCAAGGCTGCTCTACCAACCCAACCCACTATACATTTACAAATATCCATGCCCGAACCCGGATTCGAACCAGGGACCAGCACCACAGTTCAGTTTTAACTGAACTGCGCCACATGGCCGGCCATGGTATTAGAATGAAAGGTCTCAACGAAAAGAACCACTCTTGATCTCCCGTATCAGTTATTGTAATCGTAGGAGAGGGAGGGCTTGTGTTATCATTCATGGCACACTAATGAAAGGTCGTTATGATACTAGTGCCCAAAGCACTAAATATTTTAGAGGAGAATTGGAGGTGTGGAGGGGGTATGAAATGCCCACAGGAAGATTCAATGTTTATTTCCTTACACATTTATACAATTTTCGGGTGATAGGGGAGGGGTTATTCACCACCACCCCAGACCCCACGGTGCCACACTATACCTCAGAACGTTCAGCCCTAAGGGTTATGTTATATCTTTCGTAAAAAACGCAGAATCATCGTTTCGTAAAGCGCATCCTTACCCCACAGTCTCTTGGTGTTACGTTCGATGACCCTTTTCCAAAAAGCATGGTGCCACGAGAACCAAAGATTTTGCGGAAGAATGTAGAACCGGGGGCTGGTCTGGGGGTTCATTTCCTTACACATATAAAATTATTGGCGGCTAGGGAGTATTTCATTCCCCCCAGACCTCACGATGCTACAGTCTTCCTCAAAACGTTCAGCCCTTAAGGCTCTGTTATATTTTTTCGTAAAAGACACCGAGTCTTTGTTTCCTAAGGAGCATCCCCACCCTACAGCATTTTGGTGTAACGTTCGGTGCCCGTTTTCTAAATAGTATGGTGCCAGTACCAAAAGCACTAAACATTATGTGGAAGAATCAACACTGGGGAGGAATACACCCCTCCTCCACCGGGGAAAGAAAAGATTAATTGTTCATTTTCTTACACACAACATTTTCGGGTGCTCAAAGCTACATTCTTCCGTAAAATGTTTAACCCAAAGGGGCGTAAAGACACCGACTAAGGCTTTTGGTGTTTTTCAAAACGATTATCCCTAAGGGCTCTGTTACATTTTATTTTAAAATACCGAATCTTTGTTTCTTAATGAGCATCCCTACCCTACAGGCTTTTGTCATCATGTTCGATGACTCTTTTCTAAAAATGGTGGTACAAGTGCCAAAAGCTCTAAATATTTTATGGACCCCCTCCCCCTTCCAAGGAAAAAGAAATATGCAACATTCATTTCCTTACCCATATAAAATTTTTGGGCGCTAGGGCTCTGAACACCATAAATAATAAACGGACCACCCTTATAATGTGAGAATATTTCAATTTATTGAGTAAATCTGGGAGATTATTTACGAAATAAACGCAAAATTAGTTTGTGTTATTTGAGGTTGCATTTCAGTGTTTGATTTTCCTCTTAGAAGTTTTCGTTTTAATTTATGCTTAAATTCTATCGCTTTGTAATTGTTCAATTTATATAGGTAAAGTGTTAGAAGTGAGACACATCTGGTCAAATTTGCGTACCTTAAAAACGCTTACATCTGGTCGTTAAGCTAAGGTGTTCTATTGTTAAACCGTCAGGAGAAAATTAATTAACGCACTTGTTCTTTCGCTTATAAGAAGGTTGCAGGTGTTTCGAAGTATTTAAAGTGGTAAATAGTTTTCTTAAATACTAGAGACAACGAGAAACGAAGCTGCTGCTGATAATTTTGCGACGGTTAAAGAGCGTGTAAGTTTCTTAAAGCTGTCAGCATTTTGTAAGTCAAGTGCGCCAAGTGTGGCAAACTTTGTACAACCAGATTATTGTGATCATTAAGAAAAATCTGTAAGATTTCTTATTTTAATTATTGTCGCCCGCCTGCGTGCGGGGTAATATGTCCAAACAAGCTTTGTAAGCTTTTCTTCCTGTCAGGGATTTTATTGTTTCATGTGTTTCGGAATAAGTTTTTGTCATTCTGATTCGAAACCGTTGTGCGACCCGGGTAGTTTTTATGTTAGAGTTCTTTTTTGTGCCCTAGAATTATCAATTATGAAAATTTGTGTACAGGAGCAGGAGGAAAATAATTCCTCACACTTCTAAATTTAAAAGTTGCTGTTTTTTTAGCTTTGAGCTAGCTAAACTGGTGTTCTGTGGGCCGCTTAGTGGTTACATTGGTCACAGCCGCAGTGTAGATCTTGTAGAACTTCATTATGATCAATGATAATTTTGCTGGTAAACTATTTCTTTGGCCTAGCCCTTTCTTCACGTAAGAGATCAACAAATAATGCCTATCTATAGTTCAAAAGCCCTTTGAGACAAAAAATAATAAATCCAAATACGAGTATTATCCATTCGTAATGTCCACACCCTAACTGCGAATATCTCTTAAACAGTGTGTAAAAGGAGAGTACTCATAAAGGAAAAACTAATCGTCTGGACTAACTAACTAACCGAATATCTCGGAGGAGGGTACTGTAACGGGAGCTCGCTTCACCGTTTCAATTGAATATGTACCGCTTCATATGAAAACTGAGCGCGAATAGGTTTGGTGAAAATGGCACGCCGCTAAAAACGCGTGGAGAAAGGATAAGCTAGCTTGGTCTCGAAATTTCTACGCGGCTAACAAGTAACCAACAGTAAAGGTTTGGGATTAGAGCTCTGCGAGTAGCTACGAACCGTCCTTTGAAACGCTGATGAATTTTCCATTTGCGCTGGGCTCATATCGGGTAAACTAACCGTGTTTGTACATAGCGAGAGAGGAAGATCGTTACGAAATTTAGATCGCGCGGTTTGCGTGAAATTTATAAGTGGCGAAGGTTAACTTTCCCTGCTTTAGAGCACAAACCGGTGGGCGAGAATTTTTAGTGCACGGAAAATTGCGGTGATAAAAGACTAGAAAATTCAATTGTCACTCGTGATTGCGTACACTGAAATATAATAGCACATACGTTCAATTTTGATATCTACGACTCATTACAGCACTATCAACCAAACTCACCTTGACACTAGAAAGGTGGAAGTAGCTTTTCACTTTAATAATAAGGATCATCGTACGAACCAATACCTAAGGGGTTCCAGAGGGACATATTTAGAAGGTACCGTAAAACATTTGTATTATTTGAATATTACAAGGTGCCATTCATAATTTCAATTTGTGGTTAAACAATTTATTTCAAAAGAACATATTACGGCTATTTGAAAATTTTGAATTATGCACCAAGGTTTCTGAATTTAAACTTAACTGGGAAGTGTGATTAATATTTAATTGGATTATTTACTGTTTGTGAGTCTTTGGGCGAATTTTTATTTTAA